TTATCTTCTCCAATACTGTTTGATAGAAAAACCATATGGATACTAATTCGCTTGCTATACGGCAGAGCCCTCACCATACAGAAATGATAGTTTTTACATTCTGACGGGCGTTATTAATCTTAAGAAACATACCAAAATGTCGCCCCATCTATAAGTTGATAGATGATGCATTACAGTTATGACTCGTATGACTATTTTGCTTTACATCTTGATTCGTTATAGGTGCAAACGGTGGGCATTCTTGGTTATGCAAAAACCCGATCTAGGTAATAGTAAGGCAATATAGTAAGACATATTGCATTATATTACCGGATCTTTTGATGCATTATCAAATGTTGCGAAATTATGGTCAGGAAGGGGCCCTAGGTATTGTAAAATACTCCTGTCAATTGCTTACTGTGAGATAATTCTTACGACGTTCTTGTTTCAATTACACTACATCTGTTATCTTGGTTGGTTCAACGTTGCCTCGGCGGAGGTAAGCCTATTTATTCCCAGTATGCTATCTGTAAGAACAGGCTAAAAAAATCTACGAGTATAAATATGGTGTATGAAGATGCATCGACGAGTTATTAAACGGTGAGTTGCAATCGACCAGTGTAAAAATTGTTTATATACTATTAATTGGTCTTGTAGAATTTGACGTGGAAGTAAAATGGCGATACTCTGGATAGTAGATTGTTCGTCCGTTTACCCGTTGATAAGCGTTGGCTGATGCTTTTTTATACTTTCCGTAATATCCACAAAGTGATCTTTCAATGCGAGTGTAGACGGCACTGATACTAATTGACACTTGAGCCCATTGGCTGGGGCATATTTAGATGCAATATCCACCATCTCTTGAAGTGATGATGCATTGCCTATAGTAATACGTATAAATAAGAATCACAACCAAAGATTTCATTTCGCGACAAAGATAATCATAGAAGTGTCAGCAAAATATACTGTATATAGGTAAACAGGAGACCTTGTAATGAAAGCGAGATTGTATAAACAATAGAACATAACAAATAATGTGCTGTTTAGAAACTACTTACTGTTCGTCTTTGCCTCGTCTGCAAATTTCTTCAAGTTCCCTCCTTGGCACGCTACAAAGACTATCGGACAAGAATATGACCAAATTCACTCTGTAAGGGTAACCTTAGTTAGTCATATCGAACAATTACTCTAAACTGCTAAATAATTCCCACCTGGCCTGCTTCTTGTATCTCCGAATAAGGTTTCCAGCAGTATTAATAGCTCTAACATAATTAGTACCACCGCCGGCCCCATATTTACAAAGTTCATCAATTAAACTATCGCTGTAGTCAAATTTTCGGTTCTGCATGACTATAGTCGGATTATCGTCAAATAGTACAAAGGACATTATATTGTCATTAACTTGATTTGTCCCGTTTACTACACATCGTGTCCTGACAAATTGCTTCGTGCATTCATAGACTGCACCAAGTCGATTATTATGGTTTTGTATAATTTTGTAAGATCCGGTTTTGTCGTCGGGCTTTACATCGGTGGAGGCCATCGACCCGGATTTATTGATAACGAAGACAAAATGAGATGAGCCATGATGTTCACACTCAAATTGATGACCGGCTTCGAGATATGACCATTCGCCACCTGTGTGTTAGGGTCAACAGGATCATGAACTAATGGCAATATGCAGTAGTATTTCTCCTTGTTAGCATGTACATTGTTGCCACAAAGATGTACACAACTTGCAAAGAGTTTCTGTTCCTCGGCTGATTCATAAGGGTCTACATAATATTGAAGTCAGTACCAATGCTAGATATATGATTGCTACAAGTTGAACTCTACCTTGGAAACCCGAACGACTCCAATATAGACGATGTGAGATATAGTCTTTGGCCTTTTCTGGGTATGGTTCAATTTTATCTGAAAACACAGTTACGGATCAAAAACCGAAAACACTACAAACCAATTCAAATTACAAAATTAAGCAGCCATGTAACTACCAGAAATGTGTTCTATTTGATCCTTCCGCGTAGTTGATTCTAATTTTTCTTTACATATCGTTTCGTCGAGACAGTAATCGACATGAAGATGACGATCGGCATCTCTGCACAGCTGTCGCATAGTAATCAGTTGTATTATGAATGCGTTACACACCTTCTTGCGTGATAGCTGTTATTCACTTACCATGTCGCAGTAGACAGGACTCCCTGAATCCCCACTCTTAAACGTATTAGTATGGTTTTTATAACTAATAGTTTTGGTAATGCCTACCCAAACCATCGGCTTCATACTCCCGTGAGCAGTTTCATGTGGTCCCTGGTGACCATATTTCTCCTTACACTAATGGCACAATATTGTCATTAGTATTGCTGTGCGTTCTTTGAGTGTTGTTTAATGGTCAGCAAACTTACATAATATTCGCAATAAGGACATCGTTTCGCACAACCATGGTCACCCTTACATTCGTGAGGACCATCATGGCTTAGCCTGTTTGGCGGAATCATAAGATCACAATCGACCCTCCTTTCTTGTTGTGAGCGCTTGATAAATATTGTTATAAGATTTGTTAATCGCGCCATTAAATATCAGTAAGCGCAAAAAAAATAATAAATTCTTACCACTTCGTAAGGAAATTCTCCATAACTATTCGTGTAAGTTTTCATTTCTCTTGTGGTGTCAACCTTATAGATTCCTCTCTTCTCACATTTATTATTACATGGGTGCTCGTGCCTAGTAAATGGCAGTATTATTTAGCTTTCACATATTAATATTATGCATATGATCAAGTAACTTACCCGCACATATGATCTTCCCGCGAGCCTGCCTCAAGAGCATGTAGATGATCTAGACTCTGACACAGTCTTTACATCCGTAAATGCAACAGACAATGGAACAACCTCGAGACTCGCATGTATGCTGTTCATGATCTTCTTCACAAGGAGTCACACAAAGTCCCGTACATTTACATAATTTTGAAGCTGATAAAGAACATTTTTTACCGCGGAAATGTTCCTTCGCTTGACACAAATGATCTCTTTCATGGCTGTCTTTCCTGCGCATCTCTTAAGGCAACCCTTCTTTACACTGTACTTGCATTCATGAGTGCATGTATGGTTTGATTTACAAACGTGTTTTCCCGCATGTCCAGTAGGATGATGACATAGCGATAATTCATCGCCTTCGGCCATAAGTAATAGGTGAATGGTATTTATGATCCGTCATATGGTCATGTTCTAAATCTTGATGTTCGTTCTTTAAACATGGTTAAATGAAATACAGTGTGGGAAAATTCTTGCTCTCGAATCTTTCACAACATTCCATAGCCAGTGTTTTTCTTCCTCTAATTTAGTATTAGAAAGAATTTATACTGTATATTTAACGCGTGTCGCGATACTTTGTACTACTGCTTGTATAGCGGTCCTCATCCCAATATGGACTTGGGGTAACAGATTAGGAAATTAGTGCAAGGGGAGACAATGGGAAATTCCCATTGTCCCACACATTTATTTATCTTGCCTCCTTATATTAATTTCCTAATCTGTTACCGCAAGTCCATATTGGGATGGGGAGGCGCCAATTGTGCTATCTATCAATCAGCAAAACATATTTAATAAACGCAATATATAATGATTTTGTCGATCAAAGGAAAATTGTAATTCCGACAGGACTCCAAAAAAAAAAACGTAGATCTCAATCTTTGGGTTTAGTATTAGTATTAGTATATACAACGTTTCAGAAAAGGAATAGTTGAAGGAACCTAGGCTCGCTTCATCATTCACCAGTCGGATTGGTTCTACCTTAATCGAAGTTTTACCAATTTGCGAATCAGCAGTCGAAAAAACAACCGCTCTTACAACTAACAACATGTCGTGTACTTACGGCCTGTATTGGTCACGTTGCTATATTCCCTCACACTTCAATACAACGGCGATCAGCATGTTGAAGTGTAGTACTGTTATTCCATATAATAAGCAGTTCGGAGACGCCTAGCGGTTGTTAATATCTAGTTCTAATTAAATGTTTTCAATATTTAATACATCATAGCAAAGTTAACGAAGAGTTATTATTATTATATTACCTTTGTCGATCAACAGTAAAATTAAGACTGTGATTATATAGTGTGAGACTTTATTCAAGCCACACATACCAATACAAGTTTTCATGGTATTGTTGCACGGTTTACTTTATCTTACAGAGTAACTTCTATTGTCTGGCTAGTCGGTATTGAGTAAATGTGAAATATTACTCCCACACAATCGATAAGCATTTTTGCAAAGGGGTCATTAGTTAATGACGAAGCCACTAAAACCAATGTATGAAGGTAAGTATTAACTGTGCTTGGGTTATCTCTTGGAGGTATGAGAGTCGCTTGGCATTAATATCTATAATGTGTAGTTATAAAAGCTTATGAATCGTTCGAACTTTCCGAATTACATACTGTGTGAAATTATTATGTGTTTTGTTGGTTGATATGTTTGTGGCACAAAATTTTGTGAGCCGTTCTCGCAACAATCGGGGCATGGCCCTATTAATACCACAAAGACATGTGGCTGTGCATGAATGGATATTCGAGTTGGCAGTTGCGAGTATGTGATGACAAAAAACACGGTTAAAAAACTTTTGTAAAGCGTATTAGTATTGGAAGTTTTTTAACAAAGGACACCACAAGAACGCAGGTTTCTGTTCTGCAAATAAGTCTATTTTAAAAAGAGTTCAAATTTAGTGGTCGTGACGGCGAGTCAAATACTCCTCTAAAACCTCACAACCCTATACGTGGGAAGTTTTTTGTGTTAAATATACTGCTATTTTCCCTACTTCAAACTTAATTTGGACGGACAATGTCATATTTTTCCCCCCAGGACCCCAATTATTGTGCTAGTACAGCTTTCCGTTTCGAAGAACAATGCTTATCTGCGTTTATGATAAGGTTGATAAGTCGTCATTGACTAGAGGAAACATTGTCTCAATTAGTAATAAAAACCCCGTTGGCAAACTTTTTGAACTAAAAAATTTGTGTTGTCACAAACATGGAGTTCCCGGAAGAAGCTTCTCAGCCTGACGGTAAGCTCAAAAGAATGTCTTTGGTATTTTAGTTGATAAACTGATTCATTTTTACTACATTTTTAGAAGTGAATAACGTAAACAGCGACATGCCTGCGCCCGAAGACACCGAATTTAAAACAACCCATGAAACCGAAAGTTCAGAAGATGCCAACAGTTCAACGACGCGACCAGTCTCTACGGAGTTCTTTGCCCCTGGTAAATATATTCAACAGTTTAGAGAGGTGTCAGACAGACATTAGTTAACCAAACCCTATTGCTAATATTTTTTAGACTTCGACACTATCTGGGAGCAATCCGACGATTTGTCTGACAATTTGTCTAATGATTTGCCTGACGATGTGCCTAATACTAATGATTTGCCTGACGATTTGCCTGATGCTTCGTCCTATTCATATGACGATCGCTCCTCAAATGGCTTTTTTGGTGACATTAACAATGGAGAATTTGCATGGCGTCGAACAGATAGCACATTTATCCAAAATTTGTATCGACTGATCGAATTGCGTTCGGATACAAGCACAACGGGGACAGGTAATATACTTTTCATGAAGCATGTGGCCGTCCTATGCATACCATTGTACTGATATTATAATGATTTTTCTTACCATATAGTGGATAAAGCTATTATCCATCCGCCAGATTTGGGAAACTTGTGCAATACATTGGCCCCCGAAAGTTATCATTCTATCGCCGATATACGCTTTGAGAAATTAGGGAAAGAACATCTCGATCTTGTTGGCTGCTACGGGAACCGTGAACTTATTTTAAAGCTATTGTTACAGAGCAACTGTATCAATCAGGACAGGTTAATAGCATATATTAATATTGATAAGTATCAATATTGTATCTTTTACATTTACGCCTTTCTTATGTCCATTATGTAACATAGTTATGATAAACTTGTCAAGTCTGAACGAGACCCCGATTCAGTTTTTGCCAGTCCTTCATTAACTACTGGCCTCTATCTGCTTTTTATCAAGCCGCGTTTGGGCTTTGTGATTTTATGGCCGGAGAAAGGTTGCTACGAGGAGAAGGATTCGGTGAACAAACAGAAAAATATGACAAATCTTCACAGGCACGTACTTATCTATGTTACCAAAAATTTCCAATATCATTTTACTTCATTATAGAATTGGTTATCTATATTGTACAGGTTTTTGACTAAACTGACGAATCATCAATTCTGCCTAATGAGTGATGACGACTTGAGAAACTTTTTATGGCAACTTCCTCAAACCAGTCTCGGTGGAACAACACGCAGTACTAGAAGCTTTAATCTGAAAGTGACAAAGAACCAGGAACAACAAAGAAGCGTTGAGATTAGCAATGGATTTAATGTAATAATATGTATACGTCGTTTATATTAGAGTATCTTGCTAACGCTAATGTACAATTTTTTAGATAAGACTACCCGAACTTCCTAACCCCGATAGCAATTCATCAACAGCCTATATTGTAGAATCAGTCTCGTCACAATCAGTAGTCATTAAAAACCACGTTTCCGCAAAAGTTGCAATTAAGAAGGAGGTCAAAGGATATGACCTCCGGAGCTTCCGACAATTTGGACGGAGCGTACAGGGGGGGAAGTATTCCTTGAAAGTGTCAAATCTGGGGTACAAGGAATTGTGGACCTTAGTTGAAGATGGTTTACAAGATGACAGTCTCTTGAAGCCACACAAGAATCGGAAGGAGGCAATGGAGAAGAATAGGGCGAAAGAGTTTGAAGAATATAAAAACAAAATGATTGAATGGGCCAAGTGGAAGCTTGAGCAACATTATTACAGGTACAGAATTTTGTGATATTGATTTAAACAAACAAACTAATAAATAAATACGTAATAAGTACCTACGGACCCGTTTAGTATTTTTGAGGGCGAAAATCCAAAGAACGACTTACGTCATATCGAAGATGATCCCAGTAAGTGTTTCTCCCCCCCCCCCTTTTTAGATAGACTAATTCTTTTATTTTGTTAAACTATCTTTCCCTGCTCTCTAACGTATCACAAATATATAAAGACTATACGGAATCTTATACGTATCACAAATACTTGTGCCAACAAGTTGTCAAGGAGTTAGAAAGCTGCGACGACCCCCATTGGAAAGGCTTGAAGAGGAAGTTTATTTACATTGGCAAATTGGCAAAATTTTGTGATGAAAATCTGGTACATTATCAAGGAAAAGGTTCGCTTTTCTTCGCAATTTATAAGACAAAGAAACAGAATTTGGGGAAATTCTTGTCCGATCTGAACGGTCAAGACAAACTAGGTAGCGGGGATAACACAGCACCTGGTGAAATCAATGAAGTTGTTGATGACATGGGCGATAACGACAATGAAGGCCATGATGAGGGTGGAAATAACCAGGGAACTGGTTTCATAAGTAGAGTCGGCAACTTTGCCTTTGCGCAGCTCGTTCGTATTCTGCCAAGTAGTGCAGGAAATTCAGGGCAAAGTCCTTTAAAGGCGTTTATGGATAAGGAGTTTGAGATAGCTGGGCAAGAGGCAGCTAAGATAACAGACATCAACTTTATTTTGAAGCTATATGGTGACCATGATTTTACCGTTCTTGAATCCGAGATAGAATCTATTAAGGACGAGCTTATGAAAGTATACAGAAGCTGGAAGGAAAAGAAAGATTGGTCAATATTTGTGAAAGGCAATACGTGGCTTGACTATTATAAAATACATTCGACCTCGTATATAGAAAAGACCGATACTATGTACAAAGACATAGCAAAAGATTTAAGTTCTAAGCTTGAGTCAATGTATTCCAAGGGGTATGTATTTATACATGTAACACTTTTTTTATATAACTTCTGCTAATTAGCTGATATTTTAGTGACGAAATCGTTATAACGAAATTGGAAACGAGCAATAGTTACTATGAAAAATATATTCTACACTATACCATTAAAGTTGATGAACCACCTTATACCGAACTCATTATCAATGAATTCCAGCTGGATGCATTTGATTGTGGAAGAGTTAAACAAAATCCGAACTTTCTACCGACTCCGAGGGTTATTGCCAAAAGAGCCCTCTGCATCAATGACGAAGTTTATGATATCAGGCAGGTATCATTACATAGTATACAAGAACAAACTTATTGCGTGTTAGTCTTATTCTCAGAAGTTAAAATTTTTTTTATTTAGGAATATCTCACAGTTTGACGATGGAAAGTTTGTACTAGTCTTAAAGGATAAAAGTAAAGGGAACGAGACATTTGCTATCTTTTATGATATGTTGGCAAATTTAGCGAATAAAGTTGCCTCCCGTCCCCCTAAACCTACGAGGTTCTTGTACTTGACTGAGGATACGTTAATTGCTATCAACGATTCACAAAGTCTTATGGCAACTTATTGTAATGCAAGACGCAGAGTAAGTATCTTTTTCATAATTGTATTCTTGTTCGTACACAATTTACTTATGTAATTGCTATGACAGCTTGACACATATAGTTTTGATAAGAAAGCCAAAACGGTTGATCTTGATTACCGTAATATTGTTGAGCCATTTACGTCATTATCTTCAATCAGCCATTTTCTATGGATCAACAATACACGAACGCTTTTCTTCGTTGAGGAAAATGGGAACTCGCATACTTATGAAGTGGGAAATAATTATCTAAGACCTTTTGCAAATATTTCGATGAATGCTCAGCGTGTTCTCAGTTCGCCTGATGGAGATTGTATATTTGCACTTTTCGCGAAAACAAATGAAGTAAACAGTCATACAGACGATACTATCGAGCGATCAGATGATGAACGAGTTCTCTCTCCAGGATCAAGTGGAGGTCAAGACGCCGATTACGTCTATTTGAAAGAAGGTTCGGTGCTAATGGATGTAGACACAGTAGACAATTTGGTCCATGCCCACGTATTTTATCTGGATAAAAGCGAACAAAGCAATTCTTTGATAAAGACCATTCCTTTCCCTTCACACATGTTACCGTATTGTCAATTTACATCCTTTGAGAATGTTCAACACCATCTAGTTTCGCTTGATCTTGAAAATAGCTTTTTGAGTTCGGCAAGAGTCTGCATCACTGGCGAAAAGAATAAATTTCAAATTAGGAGAGATGCTAATGATGTAATTGACGGAAAGGTTATGATTGAAGATCCAACTATTGTGCTTGGCAAATATACAAGATTCACTCAAAACGTTCAAGTTGGGCAATATATTGTCATAAAAAATGAAAAGAAACCTGTACTGAAGATCTTCTCCGATACTGCGCTGGAGGTTGGCGATGGTGGTTTCCGATCATTAGTGGGCACTAATACGTGGAACAACTACATAATAGAAGAGAAAATTACAACCAACGGATATTTGGATGTCTACTCGCAACTGTTTACAAAGTATCCTATACTACCTTGCATAAATACTGGCT